GGGGGAGGAGCCTGCAGCGGGCCGGGCCGGCAACCACAGCAGGCTGCAGGGAGTGGAACCCGGACTTTCGGAGCTGACAGCAGGCGGCGGTGAGTCGGGCCGGTGGGCCCGGGCGGCGGGGCGGCGGGGAGAGCTGGCCCGCCCGGGCGCGGCTTGCTTGCACTTCGAGGCCCCACGCTACTGAGCATTAGGGCCTCCAACCTCGTTGCTCGTTAGCCGGTGACGGGGTCACAGTGGAGCAGAGTGAGGGGGGCTGGCAACCTGCGGGGCAGGGGTGCTCGGAATTTTTAAGGGGGAACCCTTTTGGGCGCCACTAGGAAGGTGGCATGAAGCAACACATGGAGGCGGTGTTGAGCTGAGAGCCCGACCTCTAAAGAGTGCTGTGGGCCCAGCCAGGGCCTTCTGGGGGAAAGGTGGCCCGATTGACACGGAAGGTGCCATGGACAGCAAGACGGAGGGAGGGCTGGGCAGTCTTCCAGGGGGACTGAGCAGGGGAGACGCTGCAGGGACCCGGTGGCGAGAGGCTGTGGTGGAAGTCTGGGTATGACTGCCCGTGGCCTGGCCACCTTGGGAGCCTCCTGCCCTTTCTCTGAGAGGGTGTAGTCATAATAGCACATCCTCATGGTTGGGGTGAGGGCACCAGGACCTCAAAAGAGTGACAGCACACATGCTGTGAGCAGGGCGTCTGGGGACCCAAGATAATTGGCCCCCTTTATTTAGCATAAGAAAGCCTATTGCTAACACTCCTAACAATTCAGAAGTTGGGGCTCAGGGCCCCAGAGAGTTAAGTCACAGCCGGAGGGCATGGTGGGTGCAGTGGGTAAGAGGAGAGGGAGAGAGCACCTTGAAATCAAGGCGCAATTTCATGTCAGGAAGGCATCCCAGCTCAGTTCAACTCAAGTCCGAGGTCCGATGCTGGGTGGAGCGTCTTCGGACTCACATAGCCAATGAGGCAGAAAGGTGAGGCGGGTACAGGGAGATCACAGCCAGTGGGTGCAGAGTTTTATGGATCTAAGGTCAGCATCTAAGGGAGCATGACAGGGTGACCGCTCCCAGGGTCAGGTAGCCCCCAAGGGGCCGCCCCTGGAGGCAGGCACAGAGTCCTAGCGAAGAGGAATGTGAAGGGAAGGGACGGAGAGGGGAAGATCCAATCTCATTGGTGACACGGTCATTATCTGTTGGGCTGTGATCCACAAGGCCCACAGTTCAAAACTACCAGCTACTCCAAGGGAGAAAGACGGGGCTTTCTACTCCCATAAAGAGTTTCCGGCTCAGAAACTCACAGGGGCACTTCGTACCTTGTCCTTTAGGGTCACTATGAGTCAGCATCCAGTCGATGGCAATGAGTTGGTTTTCATATGCTGGTTTCTGGTAGAAACGGCCACACCCCCAAGGACTGTGGCCTGATTGACAGGGTCAGGGGAGCTAAAATCTCAATGCCACAGAGGGCTTGCTGTGAAGGAGACAGGGTTCACCACAGGTGTGGAGCAGGCTCTCCCGCCCCGCCAGCTCCACGGTCCCCACCTCAGTGGGGCTGAAGGAGCCCCAAGCCGGGTGGTCAGGTGAGTGAGATCACAGGTCCCCCCGGGCGCGAGGCCCCACAGTGGGGCTGCAGTGTGAACAGGGCCTGTGCTGTGGGCTCCATCAGATGCGTTTCTTCACTTGCATCAACAATTCCAAGCAAGGTACTCCCACGCAATTCTTGGAGTACAGGCTGCAGTGACCAGAGCCTATGGAAACCTTGGCTGGCATTCATTGAGAAAACATGGGTTGACAATTGCTGCATACTGCCCATTGGTCATGCCTCCTACGCCGCCAAGTGCTCACTGAGAGGCATGAGACGTTAGAACAGTGGTTCTCAACCTGTGGGTCGCGACCCCAAAGACCCTTTCCCAGGGGTCGCCCACTTCATAACAGTAGCAAAATTAGAGTGATGAATTAGCAACAAAAATAGTTTTATGGTTGGGGGTCACCACACATGAGCAACTGTGAAAGGGTCGCGGCACTAGGAAGGTTGAGAACAACGGCCTTAGAGGGATTGCTTTCTTCCTCCAAGCAGCCCCTGCTGACTCTCAGCCCGGGGCAGTCTTGTCACACACAAGTTCAGAGCAGCCAGGCTGAGGTACTCTCTCCTCAGATCCCAGTGCAGGAATGGGCACCCCAGTGCACCGAGTGTCAATGAGGGATGCCTGGAGCAGGCACGTGAACCCTGACATGGAGAGTGAGAGGCGCAAGCAGTCCTTCGATGTGGAACGACTCACCAGCATCCTCGATGGAGGTGCCCAGAACACTGAACTCCGCAGGAGAGTTGGTAAGGAGGCCGGTGGGCGTGGGGAGGCTAGAGCACCTGCTTCCCGCCCCAGAATGCTTTCCTTGGGAGAAGAGACCTACACCAGCAGTGTCTCATTCCTATTACACACATGGCCCTCAAAGTTCCAGCTAGTCATTCCATTAGGTGGTAAAAGTGCCTTTAACATAAACCCATCGGAGGGATAGAAGAGTCCTAGGTTTAACCACTAACTAAAGGTGGAAGGTTCAAGGACACCCAGAGGCACCTTGGAAGAAAAGCCTGATTCTGAAAAAGCAGTCACTGAAGATACTACGGGCACTCGGAAGAGTGCTGTAACCCTGGGGAGAGTGCAACTAATGTCCTAAAACAAAATGTACTGAAATTGCTGAGTGGAACACTAATGTGCTCTGTAAATGATCACTCAAAGTACAGTTTTAAAAACCAAGAGATAGCCATGACTCTGTTGATGCTCGCCCTCATGACGAGATCACTGAAGATATAAGCGCGATCACAAAGTGTGGTGAGAAAACTAGATGTAGCTAGCTATCAGAAAGAATAGCATCTGGGGTCTTAAAGGGTTGAATTCAAACAAGCAGACATCTAGGTGAGGCATCAACTAAGTCCAGCTAGAAGAAGCACACCCTCCTGTGTGATCCAAATAATAGAATCCAAATCCGTAGGAGGGAATGGTATCAGAGCTTAAAATTACAAACACCAGTTTGCAGAAGACTATGGATGACAGTGGAAGCCATCCATGTGACAGGTTCACACTTACATTACACCTAGGGTGAATCCTGACCGTAACTGAGGGATGTGAATAGCCTTGTTGTCAGACAAAAGGGTATTGTAAAGATGATTAACATTGTAAAGATAATTGTCATCAAAGAACATTGTAAAAATGATTAGGTAGAGAAGCTAGGTTGAAATGAAATATCTTATTTGATATTTCTTTTGACCTATTTAAAAGTTGTTTTAGTTTTTTAAAAAAGTGAAGGGGAAATACACATGATTAAGCCTCCAGTGAATCCCTCTGACCACAGACCAGGGATGTGAATAGTCTAGCATGCAGAATGCACTGGACAGTCATATGCAGATGCAGTTAAGTTAAAATTTAACACCATATCATTTGATTTCCCCTTTGATCCATTTTAAAACTTCTAGTTTTTAATATTTTCTACTTTCTTTTCAATTGAGGCTTTCCTGTTCTATTTTGTCATTGCTTTTTGTTTTGTTTTTGTATGTTTTCCTGTATATGAAACCCAGGATAGGTATATAGAGGCCTGGATTAATGGCCTCCTAGGGCCATGGCAAGGGAGGGAAATCGGGGCCTCACAATGAGTACGAGAAAGAAGAAAGCATTCTATAATTAATTGTGGTACTGATTGCATAACTCTTCTTGATCTGATTGAACTACTGGACGGGATGATATGCAGATGAAGGGCCAAGAAAGCTGTTTTGAAAAGAGAAAAGGGGAGAGAGCGGGGCTGCACAACTCAAAAGAATGTCGTCAGCATCGCTGCGTGGTTCTTGCCCAAACCCAAATTGAGGTTCTGCTGTGTGTATTCCCAGCACCAAAGATACACCCACTAAGTAAATAAAAAGAACGTACATGAACCCCTGTGGGGCACAGTTCCACTCGGCACTTAGGGGGTTGCCTGGAGTCTGCATGGATCTGGCGACAACTGCTATGGGTAGGCAGCAGAAGATAAGACCTGGGTGCTGGTCCTGATTCTGCAGAGCTTTGTAACCTTAGGCAAGGCCCTCTCCCCACCGATGGGCCTCAGTTGTCCAACCTGCAAATCGACAGTAATGCAGGCTTCCTTCCAGTCCTGTGGTGAGTGGGAGAAAGTTGTGAATTCATCAGGAACCTCACCTATGTCTTTAAGTCCTCTGTTCTCTCTCCTGGCAGAGAATATCATCCACAGTGACCCAGAACTCAGCATTAAGGACATTTATTTTATGTCCCAGAATGAGCGATATGAGAATGCCATTCGGAAGGCAGTCCACATCAACATGATAGCCCGGCGCCTAGGCTGGCTGCAGGATGGTCCTGAATTAACCTATGCTTACAGGTACTCACTCTTGGGGAATCCCCGCCAAAGAGGAATCAACCTGGGAGAATCATGACAACACCCCTGTCTACCCTCCACCCCCACCCCCAGCTCCATGAGAAGCAGCACGTGTTGTGAAACCAGGGTGCCAAGTGCACCTTCCCTCTTATCCCTTTGTCCCCACACTCCTGTTTCACTGCAGGCTTCTCAACAAGTGTCTCTCCCCAACAGAGCCCTCGCTGGAGACCTGAGCTTCAATATACACAAGGTATTCCTGAAAGCCCTCGGGAGCCTGGGCACAACGGAGCAGATTGCCAAATGGGGGGAGCTGTGCCAAGATTTCCAGATCATCACAACATACGCCCAGACAGAACTGGGACACGGTGAGCCAGGGTCTCTGCCTATGGTGCTCAGGTTGTGCATCGAACAACCCTGGGCTCTTCTTGGCCACCTTTGATGATCAGTAAATTTAATATGGCCACATTCCAGCAGGCTTAAAAATAGGCTATCTTGTTCTGATTTGCGCGCATGCATTTTGTGGGCAGTTGGGCATGTCATTCCTTCCAGAAGCATGACTTGTCATGGGCTGGCCGTGAGTTCCCGACACCCACAGGTGAGGAGGGGACCAGGCCTGGGGAAGCAGCCAGGAGCTGACGGGCACCCCACCCTGGGTGGGTGCCTGAACACCCTGGCCTTCTCAGGAACTGTTGCCAGGGGAAGAATCCACCTTGGTCCAATGTCTGATTCCCCTTTTTGCTCCCAAGGGACATACCTTCAGGGATTGGAGACTGAAGCCACCTATGACCCAGCCACTCAGGAGTTTGTGATTCACAGCCCCACATTGACTGCCACCAAGTGGTGGCCCGGGGACAGTGAGTATCCATCCCTCCTGCCCTTCTCCAGGGAGCCCAGAGTGGGCAGGCAGAAGAGCATAGGCCCCCATGTCTAGCTGACCTTGCCTTGCAGCCCAGCTTTGGCTGTGACCTTTGGCCACGGCACTTTCCCTCCCTGAGGCCCACGTTCTCACCCTGTAAAATGGATGAGGGGGGATTATTTTATCAGTGGGTGGCTGGGAAGTTCCCAAGGGACCTCTGAAGGAGGTGAGGAATCCACCCAACCACATCCAGATACCCAGCCTAGTCCCAGGAGCAGGCTCCCCCAACACCTCCAGGACTGGTCAGCTACTGAGAGAAGGATTAAACGTGTCACCAGCTGGAGGGGGTGGGGGGCCTGCGATGAATGTTACTACGAGAAATAGCCCTCCCCACCCGTGCTCCAGCCACACAGAAAGGCAAAAGCCACCCGCCCTAAACCTCAAGGACACTGCCCAGAGAGGCCACAGGTGTGGCACCTTCCCCTGTGGCCACCAGGTGGCGACCGTGCCATGCTGCCCTGAAGCCCCGGCACTTGTTGCCACGCCTCAAGGAGGGTGGGCGGTCCCAGCAGCAGGAGGTCACCTCTGCGGACAGCAGTGCCACTTGGGTGGCCCGGTCAGCGAGTCCCCGTGTGGGAGTTTGTAAGGCAAGTGTAAGGCGTCCAAACGAACGCAGAAGAGTTGCGGCCAGAGAGACGAGAATGGGGAGGAGGGCGTCCGCCCTGGAGAGAGCTGGCACAGGTTCATCCCGGCTGGGGAGAGCCACCGTGCCCACGTCGGCCCGCCACTCCTGAGCCTCGGCTTCCGAATCTGGAAAATGGGACTGGCGCCCACCCTTGGAGAACTGGAGACCCTCTCTGCACAGCTCCAGAACAGCCTCTGGCCCCACCTGGCTTTTGAGGCGAGGACCCGATCTATGTTGGTTTTTAGCAGAAGATAACTGAGTACTTCATTAACAGTGGTTTGGTTTGGTTTGGGGGGGAGGTGGGGAAGGATTTTTTTTTTCACAGTCCCTTTGGCAAAGTCACTGAGCGGTGTCCCCTCTCTGTGACCAGCGACTTTCCGAGGCCCCGCCCACACCCACCGCCATAGGTCCGAACACCGACCCTACCCCAGCCCGCAACTCTGACGTCAAGATTCTGACTCCTCCATTCCCAAAAGGATAGGTCAACGCAAAAGACTGTGGCTGTGTCCAATCCAGTCCATTCCGCCTCACGGTGACCCGGTGCAACAGAGAGCAGCGCCCCGGTAGGGTGTCTAAGGCTGTCAGTCTCTTTGGGAGAGAAGATCTGGGAGTCTGATCCGCCAGCCCTCGCACAGACAGCTGAGCGTTCAACCACTGTGCCAACACGGCTCTGGAGCAGGCTGTGGTAGAACGGAATTTTAGGGTTCCAAGCTTCCTCAGGGCATTCCGTTTGGGCTGTCCCGCCGAGATTCATAGGCTTTGTCCAGCTTGGCCTTTGGAAGAGAGGGCAAAAGTATGTGCAGGCAAGCGTACAAAAGCCCCCTTGGATCCGATGTCCGGTTGTTTCCAAGAGTGACCAGGAAGGCTGATTGAGTCCGGGGGTGGGGGAGGTAACTAATCAATCACGTATGCCCACTTCCGGTCTTCCCTCAAACCCCGCCCCACCTCCACCACGTGGCCCCACCACGCGATCTTGCCTTTAAGCTTCTTAGCAAGCAACCCTTGCCTTACACGCTGTTTTCAGGGAGTTTCCCCGGGAAAATACCTCTCACATTCCAGGCTCCTCGGTGCCTCCTCCCCAGACCCATGCCTTCTAAGGCTGCTAAGCTGAGCCCACGCTGGGCTCACAGAGGCCCACCCCAGCCCAGGCCACCACGCTACCTCTGCCCCATACGTGCTGGGTCCCGGTGGCAGGTGGCAAAAGCTATCTGCTTCGTGCAAGCTCCAGAAGTCACGCTGGGTCTCATCCTGTGTCCACAGTGGGACGCACAGCCACCCATGCCTTGGTCCTGGCCCAGTTGATCTGCTCAGGAGCCCAGCAGGGCATGCATGCCTTCATGGTGCCCATCCGGAGCCTCAGGGACCACTCCCCACTGCCAGGTAAGCTGCAAGATGCTCCCTCAGGGACCCCACCAAGCTTGCCTGTGCTGGGGCCCCAGGGGCCCATGGGAAGAGACAGCCCCAGACAACCCTTACCCTTGAAGGAGGGCCAACTGGCTGAGTGACCCTGAACAAGATTGGACACAGGGCTATTCAAAACCTCCTCCCGTGAGATAGGCTACCTGCCACCCAGGTGGACTGATGCAGGCCCTCAGGCACCGCTCCCTGACCCACGTTCCGGCTCTCTCTAGGGATCACCGTTGGAGACATAGGGCCCAAGATGGACTTTGATCACACAGACAATGGCTTCCTGAGGTTGGACCATGTGCGAGTCCCCCGGGAGAACATGCTGAGCCGCTTTGCACAGGTGGGGGCCTGCCCTACCTGGAGAGGGGCGACAGAGGGTTTGCAGGCCCACACTGACTCTCAGCTGTTTGTGCACCTGCCTACTGTTCCCTCCCCACCATACCCCCCAAGGCTTTGGAGTCTGGGACCTGGGCATAACCCCAGCGTAGAGACTGCGTGATCTGGGCGAAATCACTTCCCCTCTCTGCACCTCAGAGTTCTCATCAGTCCTGGGGTGGCAGGGCGATCTCAGGAGGGGAGGTGTGGGGCTGGAGTTAAAGTATAAAGTGGACTTCAGGGGACTGGAGAAATGTTGGGAGCATTGTCTCTTCAGGTTGGGTCGTGGGGAGACCAAGGGCGTGCCCCTCAGAGCAGCACACACACAGTGCGTTGGGTGTGTTACCGAGCTGCACTCGCTGGCCACTGCATGTGTTGGTCTGTGGCTGCTAAGTGGTTTGCGGGCGTGCAGTCCCCGCACAGGGAGCGGGTATGGGGGCAGGCTCAGACCCAGCACCTGGCCTGGGTCCACACAGGTCTTGCCAGATGGCACCTACACCAAGCTCGGAGCAGCGCAGAGCAACTACCTTTCCATGGTGGTGGTGCGGGTGAGCCTGCTGCTGGGCGAGATCTTACCCATCCTGCAGAAGGCTTGTGTCATCGCCACGCGCTACTCAGTCGTACGCCGCCAGTCCCGCCTCCAGCCCAGGTAAGGGTACCTGGAAGCTGATCACAGCAGACATAGCCACCTCTCAGTCCACAGTGGCCCTGACACCACCCCCTCTGCCAGAGCCAGATGCAGAGGTTATCCACACCACACACACACACACACACACACACACACACACACACACACACACATATGCATCTGCCCAACCTGACCCACCCAGCCGTGGCTGTGAGGTCCTTCTAGGCGCCTCCAACCCCAGCTGACTGCTGGATCTGCCCGCGCCCAGCCCCATCGGCTCTGCGTGGCTGTGTCTGACCCAGCATGTCTGGCCTTGTTCAGCCTGTGTCTGTCAGAGTCTGGGGTGTGGCTGTGATTGGCTGAGTGGCTCTAGGTCAGCCTGTTGTCAAGCTGGGCCTGGTTGTGGCTAGCTGAGCGTGTCCTGTCCGGGTGTGTCTGCCAAGCCTGAGTGTAGATGAGACTGCGTGTGGCTGAGCTGGCTCTGTCTTCATTAGCATCCAACGGCCCTCAGTCTGATCAAGTCTGCTGGGTCCATTTGCTTGTATATGGCTGCCTGGCCACTCCCCAACCCCCCATGTGACTCCACAGCACAGGTACCCTGATGTGCATCCTCTGCATATGCCTGTACATGTATAGGGCTTAACAAGCAAGGATACAGGATGCCCAGTCACATCTGAATTTCAGATGAACAAATCCTAAATGCACACATAGACTCACAACCCACACATTCTGACTTGCACTGCCCCAGCAGAACTGCCCCCAGGGTTTCCAAGCCTGTGATCCTGACAGAGGCAGACTGCCACAGAACAGCTGGTGGATTCAAACGGCTGACTCTGGGGTTCACCGCTGAGCACTTAACCACGGCACCACCAGGGCTCCTGCACCTACATCCAGTGTGGCAGCATGGCCCCCGGGCCTGTGCTGTCCCAGCGAGAGGCAGGAAAGGGGTAGAACTGGACACAGCGTAACTGACCCAAACCTGTGGGCAGAGATAGGGCTGGCCTTCAGGCTCAGCTCTGCTGAGTGACCTTGGGCAAGTCCTTGGCCACAACCAAGCCTTGCTTTTCTCACTGGTAAAGCCAGGCGGGCCCTCACCAGAACTGGAACTTGAGATTTGCTGGTGTTCGTGCTGCGGCTCGAGCCTCCAGAGGGTGCCTTATGCAGTGAGCAGACCTGGGGCTAAACTCTGCCATGTGCTAACTGCAGAAGCTTTGACCAGCCCCTCAGTTGCCACAGGAGCTGGCTCTGGGGACCTTGTTGCTGGTGCAGTGTCCAGTCACCCCTTCACCCTGGCACCCTCAGCGGGCCCCACCATCAGCACCAGGCTGGGGAAGCCATAGAGGCTCTCCTGAGGACGAGGGTGCTGGGAAGAACCTGGCCATGTCTGTCTGGAGCCCATTTTTCACAGCTGGGAACATGTCCCAAGGATGTTAGGGGAGGAGTGGCCGCCCGAGAGAGGAGCCCCCAGGCCTCTATCAGCCCTCTAGTGGAGGCAGCACGTACCCATTCAGACCTTCTAGCCCACAGCTGGGCACTGGGGCTCCTATGTGCCAGACACAGCCTTGGGCACTGAAGACGCAACCGTGGGCAAGACACTCGGCACTCCAGCTGACATCGGAACAGCTACCCTTTCAGCTCGGGACATCGCCCCACAAGAGCATCCAGGCAGTGCCTGGTCTCTGGTTCACACCCTTGGGACTGCATGGCCACCACCCCGCAGCCAGAGTCCTGGGGGCCATTTGGGATGTTCCAGCTTTAGGATGACTGAATGTGGGTCTGGTGTTTTATAAACCTCTCCACAGGGGTGGCACCCAGGGTCAGGCTTGTCAGCATTTCTGCCAGGGAACACAGGGGTGCTCATGCCAGATGGGGCAAGGGCTTAGTAACAGTCTCACGTCAGGGCAAGTTCTACAACACACGCGCACACCCTTTAACTGTGGGTTCTTGGAGGTTGTCTGGCTTAAGGGACCTAGAGAGCTGTGTGTGGTCTGGTGGCAACCTTCTCACCCTTTCTCTTCTCTCCCCATCAGTGATCCTGAGGCAAAGATTCTGGACTACCAGACCCAGCAGCAGAAGCTCTTCCCCCAGCTGGCCATGGCCTATGCATTCCATTTCGGGGCCTTCCACATCCTGGAATTCTTCCAGCAGGCCTACAGTGCCATTCTGGAGGGGGACTTCAGCTCGCTGCCCGAGGTAACTGTTCCCACCGTCCATCATCCCAAGGGTACCTGAGGTGAGCTGTACCCAGACATAGAAATCCACTCCTCCCACCCCCAGCCCCCAGCAAGCCTAAAAACTGTTAGAGAAAATAACCACCCATTTGATCTAGAACACGGAGCAACAGTCTCTGGTCTGCTTTTGAAACCCAAAGAGCTCTGAAAACCAAAGCCAGCTGAGAACTCATTAGCTGGCCCAGTTTGACCTGAACCCGCTCGACTAACCCCACTGAGCATGAATCCGTTTTGATTCAGACATGTTTGATCATTCAGTTGCCCCAGATCCCACTGGGGAGGGGAGGGGGGTACTATAAATCATGTGCTTTATATGCCCTCTGTCCCTTTCAAAAAACCCAGAGTGTTCTGATGTCAAAACACAGCTGGCCCCTCGGGCCTCAGATCAAGGACTGTGAACTCAGTGGACCAAGCACAGCTTCCTTCAACCCTTTCCTGGGCCAGCTCCCCAAACCTCGGCTCCCCTGAAGAATCCGTAACTCCTGGATGACAATGGGCCTGATCCCGGCATCCCGTCTTCCTGGTCCTGTTCTGGTTGCTATATTTGCCAGCTGTGTAGTTTGGCAGAGGCCCATAAACTCTCTGAGCCACAGCCCCCTCCCTGCTGAGCTATGAGCAGAGGAGACAAGCCTTACCTCACAGAGCTGGGCTCAGTGCACAGTAGGGGCTCAGGCAGCGGTGAGCACAGCGGTCTCTGGAGGACATGTCCCTTACAGCACCTGACCCTGCCCTCCGTTCCCGCAGCTCCACGCACTGAGTGCAGGTATGAAGGCCATGGTGTCTGACGCCTGCACCCAGGGGGCCGAGATGTGCCGCAGGGCCTGCGGCGGGCACGGCTTCTCCAAGCTGAGTGGCCTGCCATCACTGGTCACCAAGGTGACAGCCTCCTGTACCTACGAGGGTGAGAACACTGTCCTCTACCTACAGATGGCCAGGTGAGGCCCCTGGGGACCCATCCAGCTTCTGCTTGGGTTGGGCCTCCCTCTGTTACCCATAGAGGGAGTCGGCTTTAGGGAGCGCCATCCAGGGCTGTCCAACTGCCACCATGCATTGCTGTGCACCTCTGGGCCTTCTCCGCGACCTACTGTGGCTCCTAGCCAGGGGCCTGACCTCTCCCCGCAGTGGTAGCACTGTCTCCTCACTGGTCTCAGCCACTACCCTGCCCCGCCTCAGTCCTGTCTCCAATGGCTCCTAGGAAAAAGTCATGCTCCACACTGGCCTTGAGGTCGGTCCCTGACCCTGCTCGGGCCTCCCTCGATCCTACCCTCACTTTCTCCAGCCATAGGGCCTTTGCACCTGCGCTCACTCCACCCGGAATTCTCTCCTCCCCATACTGCTGGCTCCGCCACTGCGAACATGACCCCACAGAAATGCCCTCCCTGAGCATGCCGTCTGGCACAGCGCCACCCTGACCCTGTGACCCAGTGCCGCCTCAGTTCCTTGAGACCCATTATCACCATCTGCCCTGGTCTGACTCTGGAGCTCTGCTCCCTCTCCAGCCAAGAAGCTCCTGGAGAACAGGGGCTCCCTCGGGGTACCCCCAGACCTCGCCCACAGGAGACTGCAGCCTGAAAGATGAGCGGTGGGCTCAGCCTCTCCACACAGGTGGTCTCTCCTCAGCCCTATGTCCATGGGCCTCACAGGGGACACAGCTCCTCACCCAGCCCAGCTCCCCTCTCCCCAGGGGCTTCCCACCACGGAAAATGAGGGTTTGCTGGCAAGCATGCTAGGTGGCATTTATTGGGTCGCTGTCTACAGAGGTTTATTGGTTAGGCTTGTCAAAATTACCATGAGGAGTGGACTACAGTATCGGCGGCTCTGCATGACAGCCCCCTCCCCGGGAGTGCTGTCACCCCGAGAGATGGAGACACAGTGCAGAGGGCAGCCACCCCTGCGGCCTCACTCTGGGCTGCAGGAGTCCAGGCTCTGACCTCGGGGAAGCCCCGAGGGGAAAAGCCAAAAGTCGCCTCTGACCCTCCCACTAGTGTTAGCATTCCTGCATCTGGCCTTTCTCCCTTGGGTCGGTGCAGGGTGGTCACTCTGCAGTTCATCCTCAGTCCCCGCATCAGACAGTCCCGTCTGGCATGGACATTGAGGTCATGGGAGCAGATGTCCAGGGTCCAGGTGGAACACCCCAGCTCGCAGCCCCACGTCACTGCCGGACCCACTGCAGCCTCGGGTGCACCTGGGGGAGCCCTGGGCCAGGGGGCCTGCAGTGAGGGGCAGCCGCCAGTGAGGGGGCTGGGCCGACTGCCTGACCTGGCTCTCCCGCAGGGGGGCTGGAGCCCAGCTTGAGTGCGAGTCTCTGGAGCTGGGTGAATCCAAGGTCTCACCTACCACCCATTCTAGGTTCCTGGTGAATAACTGCCTTCAGGCTCAGATGTCCTCAGGCTCCACTTCACAGAGGTCTCTACCTCAGTCCGTCACGTATCTCGCCGCACCAGTCCTGGCCAGGTGCCCAGCCCAGAAGGCAGCTGACTTCCTCTGCCCGGATCTCTACATAGCAGCCTGGGCACATGTGGCGGCCAAGTGAGTGGCACCCTCTCACCCGGGGGCGGCTCCTGCCCTCACAGGGCCTTCCACAGACCACCACTACCTTGTCTGCCTGGTCCCCCCAGTCCAGCCACTGTGGGAG